AGCTGGATGCTCATTTCGCTGCCTGTATAAAAACCATGGAAAAGAGAAAGGAAGAACTCAAAGAAAAGCTTGCATCTGTGTCTCAAAACAAAAAGAAAGACCTTGATGGACAACTAGATCGCCTGACGAAACAAAAAGGACAGCTGGATCAAACTTGCAAATTCACGGATGACCACTTGCAGTACAGCAATGCCGCAGAATTCTTGCTCATGAAAGACCAGATACTAAATCGAATGTATACCTTAAAAGACCAGTCCGTCGAAACAGTACCCCATGCAACATCGAACATCAAATTTCAAACTACCAACCTAGGTGACGACTTCTCGGAATTTTGCCAAAATATGGGCGACGTATGGGCAACCTCGATTTATCTTCCGAACACTCGCGTACAAGTTCTGGATATAGCGACTGGAAGAGAGCAGTGTCCATTGCTTATCACCTTGAGCGACTACCAAAACCGACCGCTTCACGAGCCTGGCGTAGATATTAAAGTGGACATTTTCAACAGCAAGAATCATAAAACTCTAGCACATGTCCAAGACAAAACGCGGTCCCAAGGCTGTTATAAAGTCGCCTTTACAGCATCTAGACCTGGAGAATATAGAGCAGTTATCAAAATAATGGGGACAGTATTAGAGCCGGGGGAATATGTCTTTAAGGCCAAACATCCGGATCAAATGGAATCTGAAGACAGTTTAGCGGATCTAAGTAATTCTAAAGATAATTCGATGACAATATCTAAATTTTGGTTTAAATTAAACACACAAACTAGAAAAAAAATATATTATGATAACTGATTCTTTTATGACTCAATTCTTTAAAACTTTTTTAGCCCCAAAAGAAAAGAAGGGAAATGACGAAACAGGTGTGCAGAATTTACATGTACATGTTCAAGAGCCCAATGGTAATGCTGAAGGTAAGCTTACTTTCATTCTGTCACTTTCTTTCATCTACCTTTCAAGCTAACAGACAAACTGTTACATCTATTGATTTTGAATATATTTGCAGTTGAAAAGCTGAACCTGCAAGGTCTAGCCACATCCAGGTCTAGCCCCGTGACATCACATAAATTCAAAGCTGTCGGGGACATTATATGTAAGAAAACGGCTGAATTAGTTGCATAAAAATATTTTTAATTAAATCATTTTTATTTCGTTTACATGTCTTTTTTCGCAAAAATTTTTAGGTCCAGATATGAGCCTCAACCACTTAACAGTCCATCCGCAAAACGAGTTGTTGGAGAACCAGAAAACCTTAACTAACCAGAAGGGCCGCCATCGTCCGCCTCGGAATCTCTCCCAAGCTTTCCAGAACTTCCGCGGAACTATCGCAAATCGCTCCATGGGAAGAACAGGGCAGTATTACTTTGAGGTCAACATAAGCTTCTTCATTAAGCGTTCACTACGACAGGACCTTATCTTTGAGGTAGGACTATGTCGTAAACCGGATGTCGACAAACACTACACGATCGACAATCATCAGTTTTCGTATGTCGTCTGCGCAAGAAAATGCCACATCTGCCGTACTATTTGTCTTCAAGGATGGAGTAATGGCCAGCGATTCTATCATGCGCCAATCACCGAAAACTCACCGCCAGGAACTTCTTTCAAAACTACATACGGGTTTCTTTTAGACACACGACAGAGACAATGGGTCGTTATTGATGTTAAAAGTAGGAAATTCATACTTAGGTTCAAGCACATTGACTTAAACAAGCCACTGTGGCCAGTATTTGGGCTATATAACCCAGACCTGGTCAATTCGTCGCTGACGCTTCGGTCTGGAAAAGACATCTCAACAATTTTGGAGGTACCATTTGACTTGTAGCACCACTCACGTTATTATTTATGTATCATATTAAGCTCCTTTATAAATGCAGTCAACTTGCCGATTTTTTGTTGCTAGAATGATAAGTAACTCTGATACTCAGGATATACACCCTTCCGACTACCTAACTAAAGTGAAGTTATCTGTATCAGTGTCGAATGCTGCCTCGATTTTAGCTGCAGAGCTCAATTTATGGATATGCTCTTTAGCGAGTAAATGCTCCCATTTGTGTTGCACTTGACTGGATTGAAACTGTGGTTCATTTTAGTTTCCTCAAGTATAGAACTTTTGTTCTAGAATTTTTAAAAATAAAGCATGATTTTTTTTTCATTTCATATACATACATGTAATTAAGTTTTTGAAAGGCTTTAATTTTATTTATTTTAGAAAATTTTCCATCCATCTTTTTTCTCCATATTATGGGTGTCAGTTCTCTATAACTTTATTTATTTACAAGTGTTTTTTGTCCTTTAGGACGTGTGGCGGCCGGTGTAATAGCTTTTTTTGTTGACAATCATTTTCTTCTATATATATTATGGTTTAATGTTGTAAATAAAAAAAAATGAAGTGGTGTGCTTTTGTTTTAAAGTGAAAATTCATTAAATAACTAACTTCAAAGTAGGGATGTCAATCTCACTGTATTCGAATAATTGGGTGCTTTAGTCGAGGACTCGAGAAAAGTATCTTATCTCATGTCGGCCTTTTTGGACAACTTTGTTGTACACTCAGGATCTAAAGTTAAATAGTCCTCGACAAATATTCTTAAAAGCTTGCTTAGTTAATTATTAGCCTGAAATGAATGCAATTGTAAAGGCTTCAAAGGGATAATTCAAGCATTAATGTCGTGGGAGAATGACTACTTGCAAGATCCGAAGCGGCGAGTCGTAAAAATACGGAAAATATAACGTACGAAGTCAGATTGAGATCGGATGGAAGAAGGGTTTTAAAATGATTTCTTCCCTTGTATGAGTTTATCGTCCCCCGCTTTCTGGAAGTTTAAGGTAGGTCCGTACTTTCAGAATTTTCTGTCAAACTGATAATTTTTCAATTTGAATACCTTGAACAAGTCTTAAACTTACTAAAACACCCATAAAAGGCATGTCTTTGCAGGTTAATTTTCATACAACATGCCTCAGCGCACATACCTCTAAAAACTCAACAGCCAAAATTGAACATAAAAAAGTGTGATATCATATTTCTCTTACTTATGCACCAAATCACATCAAATTTATGTTAAAACTTATGAAGATCAAAAATATTCATTTGCCAAGAGAATATTTGAAATCTTTACTGCAAAACATTAACAAATTGGTGTTGAATCTGTCCATGTCTTTCAGAAAAAAATCTCAAAATATCTTTATTTTTTATAATTCCCAAAATCCAAAATGTTTAGATGCCATTTTTTCTTTAAAAATATTAAGAATTATATCTAATGTTAACAAAAACAGCTACTTTATGATGGTTGACCAGAGAATTTTAATAAAACAGTCTTTTGAAGACATATACCCCCATTTTTGGAATATCAATTTTTTCAATTATTCAATGCAAAATTTTTTAAAAAGTAAAAATTAAATGGATGATATAGGCTCTAAATCAATAAAAATAGATCTCAGGTTATTTGCTTAAAAGAAAATTAAAAAGATTTAGGTCCATAAAAGCAATTAAGAATTTTGTGTCTGTGTATGTACTAAATGACATGTAGATCTTATGGACAGAGTGCAAAGTGTTAATTTCCATAAATAATGTATATTAAATGCTTCATATGCACAATAACACTATAATAAACAAATATATACTTGCTAAATAATTTTCAATCACCCAAAAAGATTTATATCAATTGAAAATCAGAATTTTATATTGATGTGTAAAATTAGAACCGGATCCGATCCGTTGTGGGCCTTCCTTAAATCTCGTTTAATGTCGGTTTGTCACAAAAACGTTAACCGCGGTCATTTCTTCTGAGAACAGAGATACGACTCTCATATTTCACATGAATTGTACATTTACATTACTTGGTGACAAGACCTTTTCAAATTTGCATCAAATTTTTTTTTTAAATGAAATATATCGAGATAGTGAACAGTTTACATGTACAAGCTCAAAAGCACATTCCGCCGTGTTTTATATCCAATGTCTTTCTGCAACAGGTATTCATGGAATATACCTGAAATCTTCTTCTCAAGAACCAGTGGGCCAGGAAAGCTGAAACCTATATGGAAGCATCCTGGGGTAGTGTAAATTCAACATTGTTAAAATCAACACCCCCCGGGGGTAGGGCTGGGCCATAATAGGAGGTCCAAGATTTACATTGAAATATATATGAAAAATCTTTTTAAATCTTCTTCTCAAGAACTAGTGGGCCAGGAAAGATGAAACTTGTGTGGAAGCATCCTGGGGTAGTGTAGATTCTAAATTGTTCAAATCATGACCCCCAGGGGTAGGATGTAGGGGTAAGATTTACATAAAAATATATAGGAAAAATATTTTAAAATCTTCTTCTCAAGAACCAGTGGGCCAGAAAAGCTGATACTTATGTGGATGCATCCTTGGGTAGTATAGATTCTAATTTGTTCAAATCATGACCCCCAGGGATAGGGCGGGGCCACAATACGTAATCCAAATTTTACATAGAAATATATAGGAAAAATATTTTAAAATCTTCTTCTTAAGAACCAGTGGGCCAGGAAAGCTGAAACTTAGGTCGAAGCATCCTGGGGTAGTGTAGATTGTAATTTGTTAAAATCATGACCCCCGGGGGTAGGGCGGGACCACAATAGGGAATCCAAGTTTTATATAGAAATAATTATAGGAAAAATCTTCTTCTCAAGAACCAGTGGGCCAGGAAAACTGAAACTTAGGTCGAAGCATAATTAGGTAGTGTAGATTCTAAATTATTATAATCAAGATGGGGGCTGTTGGCAAGGAGGGGGGGGGGGGTAGTAGGCCACAACAGATATAAGAAGAGGGGAAATTTGGTAAATAACTGCATCACCAAAGTTACTCAGGTGAGCGATGTGGCCCATGGGCCTCTTGTTCAAAATTTGTTTGATGAGTAAAACAATATGCGTTTCTTTTTTTGTTGAGTATATTTCTGTTCAGTTTTAAATAATGATAAAATTATAAGTTTATACAAGCTTTCCATGTTTAATTAACAGATGAACCAACAAAAACATAGATCTTATGAAAAAAAAAATGCCCCAAGAAAAATAATTTCTGGAAACTGGTAATGTACACAGCTTTCATTATTTTGTAAAACTGCAGTGAGTATGAACAATAAATAAACAGCAAGATATTATCCTAAACTGCAATTACAGGCATGAGTATCCAAAAAAAAAAGTCAGCTCAACACAGGCATATAATGTAGCTCAATCATATTGTTTGTCTGGCAAAGTTCTTTATAAAGATACATGTATCTCAAAAGCTTGGACATAAGTTTAGATGTAATTAGTATACTTTCCTCACTATTTCAAATATCTAATAACTTCAACTTTTTTAAAATCTGATACCTGGTAATCTTTCAACATAAGCAAATCAGATATCTTCAGGATTAGGATTGTACAAAAATCTTAATCTTTTTATGTTCTAATATTCTGTCCTTAGTCTGGAAGAAGATAGTAAAATGCAGGGAGGAAAAGGAAGATAAGCACATTTAATGAATATACACCGTAGTGGATTCTGAACAACAGATACTTCAGATACATCATTTAAAAAATTTGATGTACAAAACTGATGTAAACATTTTTCCTGAACACATATCACAATTAAGTCCCCTTGAACATGTTGAGATGTCAATTTTCTTTTGATTTAGGAATGTTCATATACACATACACTTACATACAAATATACTTGGACTTATGCATCATAAAAGTAGCAATAAAATTCATTCCAAGAAAATTTCGCTGGTAATTATTCTACATTCATCAAAGGAAACATGTACAATGAATATGTTTTGGCTTGTCAATTAATGCTGATTACCGAGGTTCAATATGGACTGTAGGGTCTCCACAGCCTGGGCGTCTAAACTCATATTCCTATGATTCTGGCCACTGGGTTCAGGTCCCTGATCATACACCACATATACCTCCGTGTTTGGCTTCAAGTTCTGATCTGAAATCTCCACCTCTTCTAGGACCTCTCTAGGCAAGTTATCAATGTACTGGACGTTAGAAAAGTCTATCGTCACTGTTTCTTCATTCTGAAGCATGCCCATCAGTTCTGAACCTTTCTGTACTTCTAAATCCTTCCTTATACCTCCCATTGATTTGTAAAGTTTTCGATATTTCGTACTGCTTTTGGCTGCCCTGTATTGCTGAAGATCAACAGATTCTACCATGTCCTTTTCCATATTTGCCAGAAGTTCATAAAAGGCACTTGGATGAATTCCTTTCTTTGCACAGTTCTCGTTGTGCTTATGAGTTTTCATGTGTCTTAACATTTTCGACGGAATGAGAAAATAGAGGTCACATGCAGTACAATGAATATTTCTGTTTTGTGCGTGAGTGTTTTTGATGTGGGAATTCAGTTGAGCTATAGTGCAATATCTGTTACTGCAGTACTCACATCTGTGATTCTTCTCCACACCGTGTTTGGCCAAGTGTCTAGCATGCTGTGTTTTGGTGGCCAGGACCTTGTCACAATATGAACAAGGAAAAACGGTCAGGTTTCTTTTTTGGACTTCTTCGGGATGATAAACCACCCAGTGATACTTAAGGCCATCATAACATCGAAATGTTTTATTGCAATACTTGCAGACATGGCATCGATCCATGTCATGCCTTTTGGCGTGCATTCTCAAACTAGGACGACTTTTGAAAGCATTGCCACAAATATGACACACGAAATCACGATAGGTTCTATGTGTCTGCAGATGAGAAATTAGTGAAGACCTGACGTGAAACTTTTTGTTGCACTTTGTACAAGGAAATGATTTGACATCTGTATGTCTTTTCCTGTGAGCTGTAAACAGATTTTTCTTGTAAAATGTCTCCCCACATATATCACAAATGAAGGTTTCGTTTTTATTCATAATGCCCAGGTGACTTGCCATATGGATTGCTAATTCGTTCTCGTTTGTGCTACTTTTTCCACACTTCTTACAAATGAAATGATCTTCATGGAAGTTGATGGTAAACTTGGGATTGTCAATGATTTTCTCATCTATTTCTGCCATGTGGGATACCTTGATATGATCAGCAAGCTCTTTCCGTGAGTAAAAACCTGCCTGGCAGACCTGGCATTCACATGGGAATGTTTCCTTCACTACTTTTGGCTTCGACACCCTATGTATGTCTCTCAAATGTTTGTCAAGGTGTTCTTTTCGTGAAAACACCTTGGGGCATTTTGGACACTGCACCTTATCACCTTCTCCATGACTATGCATGTGACGGTTCAACATGTAATTTGAGACAGCGATATGTCCACAAATATGACATTTAAAATCTCCACCATGGGTAGTGGAGAAGTGGTTTTCAAAATTCAGTTTGCTCATTAAATGCTTGGAACACACATGACATTTTTTCCTTATTTTTTCTCCATCTGGAGGGTGACAGCCACTGTCGTGTTCTTTCTTCTCTGTTTCATCCTTAAAAGTGGCATCACACAAGAGGCAGAAATTCTCTTCATGATTTTTTAACAAGTGCTTCAGCTCCAAGTATTTGCTGCAGAATGTTTCTTTGCAAAGCCTACATTCTATGTTAACAAGATTTTTTTCATGCTTTTTCTCATGCCTTTGTTGTACGGAGAACCTGCTGAAAGTTTTCTTACAAACTTTACACTGGAATGTTTTTTTCCCAGATTTCTGAGTAGGTTTTGATCCTTCTTTCTTCTTTTTCTTTAAATTAACCTTCAGTTTCTTTCCTGGTGGAGTGGACTGCATACCTTGTTCATCATCTTCATCATCTACATCATCGTCACATACATAATCATCATCATCGTCATCATCATCACAATTTTCATCAGATTTTAAATCTTCTTCATTTTCTTCTAGCAAATCTCTGGAATTGACCTCAGCAGTTTCATAACTTCTAACACCACTGTTTCCCTGAACTTCAGCAATATTCTTGATATCATCCGTTGAACCTTCAACTGCCTCTGGCTTAGAATCGTTAGCCATTTCAGAGGATGGAGATATATGATTTTTCAAGACATGATCCAAGAAGTCTTGTGAAGAAGAAAAGTCCAGGTTACATTCCACGCAGTAATTCTCCTTCGTTAACTCATGTTCCTTCTCATGGTCATGTAAAGCTGATAGGGAGGAAAAACTAATGTCACACTGTGAACACTTCTGATTTGGGGATCCATGACAATTTATAATGTGGTCTTCAAATTCATTTCTTGAATGACATTCTTTTACGCAAAAGTGGCATTTTCTTTTGAAATCTCCCTCTCTTGGACAGTTTGCTTTATGTTTTTCCATCTCCTTTGTATCAATCTCAAAAATAGTGCACCAAAAGCAAACATTCTCACTATGTTGCTTATGCAAATGAAAAAAGAGGTCTTCAAAACTTTGAAATACTTCTGTACATAACTGACAAGAAGTCTTAAACTCGTGTGTTTTTTCGTGTTTTTCAACATTTTCTTGACTGTTAAATATTTTGTTACAAACACTACAAGAGTAGGCCATGGATAGTTTTGTAATTTCTGATGTCTGCTTCAGATTTTCTGATTTGATTTCTGTAGCTATATGTTTATCCTTCTGCTTTTTCTCCACTGGTTTTGCTGGCGATTTTGATTTTTCAGTGCGGTTGTTTCTGAGGGAACTGAGTTTCTCATTCTTTTTGGTAGATTCTTTCATCTGACTTTGCATTTTTCGGTCTGAATTATCTTTCACCTGACTTTGCATTTTTCGGTGTGAATTATCCACCTTTGATCCTTTGAAAAATAAAAAAAATAACCAATAAAATATTCTTTTTAACCATGTTGACAGAGGAAAATTAACATTCAAAGCATAGGCATTCATAATCAAAGATATGCATAGTACATAATTATTTTTAAATGAAATGGTGGCAGTATACAATTAAATTGTTTAATTGATAGCTGATGAAACAATGAGAATAGTCTTCTTCTGGATTCATAAAAAGTTCCTTATTACTACAAATCACTTTTTATTCACAATAATTTATATCACACAAGCACTTCCACTTTGCAAAAATTAATTCTGTGTATATTTGTATTTAAAAAAAACATTAAACAATGATCAATTCCTGAACATTTTTATCTGCAAATGAATACTCAAAAAATTTTTCCTGAAAACTAGATTTCGCAAAAATTTGATAAAAAAAAAGTTTTTGGATTTCCCTACAAGTGCGTTTTTTATGACCTAGTTTTCCTGTACACTCACGTTTCTTTGGTGGCACCCCCTCCTCCTTTGTTTTCTGGGCCCTTTTACTTCTAGTGGGTGAGTAGTAGTCCTCCTTCCATTTCGGAGCTTTAATTTTACGTCCATGTCGCCCAAACACAGCAGGAGGTTCTGGTACCTCTGCTGGAGGTCCAAAGTCATCTGAGATACAAAAATTACACATATTAATTTGAATTTATGAAGGGGGGGGCTAATTTTCGAAATTTTTTCTCGGCATAGAGACCCATGAATTCATGTCTACCACAACATTTAAAATGTCCAGAACTACTCAACAATTCGTCAACCATGAAATCAAGATTGCTTAAGTCATTTAAACAACTACCCATGATCATTTGTGTCTTAATTTCACATGTGTTTACCTTCAACCTCCTGCTTGATACGGATGTTTCCATAAACAGGATTTCCTTGTAATGACTGTGAGGCAGGTCTGGGTTTTTCTATTGCAGCAGAAGTACCTGTTAATTAAGAAAGGGCATTTTAGACTTGTTTTTTAAATGCTTAAATAATTATGCAGATTAAATTCAGTAGTTAAATAAAGCATAATTTATGCATGTATTTTAATTTAACCAAAAGAGAAATGCAAGAATATTAAAGGTGCATATACATGATATATATATAGACACAGATTTGAAGTTAATATTTTCTCAAATTTTCTGTATAATATCATGACTTATATATTGCAATAGCATTTCACACGAAAGTATATTCAAAAATTTATTTCATCTAAAAGTTATTGAAACTTCAAATTTTCGGACGGGTTTGATTGACACATCCTTGCACTTCCACAAATTTTAATTTTATTCTTAAAAAAAGAGGCAATCTTGTTGTGTATTAATGAAAAATATTTAAACTGTTTAAAAATAAGAGTTTGGCTATTAAAATGAGCCCAACCACCGGGCTGTCATCTGAAGTTTTGTACCCGCCTGCCTGAGAAACAGACCGGGCGCTCGGGCAGGCTGTAATTTCCAACCCTGATTTGCTATGTAGTGATTATGTAAAATCAAACCCAGCTGCAGTTACTGGCTACTGTGAGTAATAGCATTATTGTTGTTCTCAATTTTATCGGTTTATGTGACCTTTATATTAGAAACTGTAATTGTATAAATTAACAAAGAACAGTAACTTTTCTTTAACTTTTCTTTACAAAGAGGAGTAACTTCAGTCTATGTATACTATTTCTGTGTAACAGAAAAAAAGTACACACACCCCACTCTGTTAAAATATACATGTACATGTAGAATTAATGGTATGCAATGCATGTAAATTTTATATACATATACATAAACCAGTATTGAAATATATATTGAAATCATATACATAATTAATGATAATCATCAGGAAACAGGACAGGTTAAAAAAATTGGAAAGTGATAGTTTGACATAGTTTTTACAAGTTATTTAGGAAGGTCTCTAAATGTTGTGAAAAATTAAAAGTACACGTGTATCAGATTCATCATCAATGAAAAAAAATTGTTTATAATATAATATTTCCATTTCTAATTTTTCTCTCTGTGATAACTCTTTGAAAGTTAGCGGAGTTAATTTCTTGATAATTCTACCGGAATGTAAATTAGGCAGGTCAATAGGACAGGAGCTAAGGAGGCCTAGTATGCATGCAAATCTTGTGCGCATCTGTCTCTGAGTCTGATGCTAAGAAGGCCAAATATGCATGAAAATTTCGTGCGGCTGTCGTTGTGTTTGACGTCAGTGGGCGAGGATTACCGAAATTGGGATAGGAATCCTCGTGTAATTTAAATCTATGTCTGCATTTTTAATGTCTAAATCTACACTTTTATTTCACAATGAAATGGAAATATAAGGAATCACTGTCTAGTTAGCATAGTATGCCTGGGACATCAACAATAGTGGGAAACATGGGATAATTTATGAAGCCCGTTATGCAAATTATCCCATGTTTCCCACTATTGTTGATGTCCCTGGCATACTATACAAACTAGACAGTGATTCCTTAATTAACTACCTTCATAACAGAAGCTGGTGAATTTGTTTAACAAGGAAACACTGCTCTCCACAAACTGTTGTCCCATTGGTGTTCCCTCCAAGAAGGATTTAGAGGCCTCCAGCTTGTGGGCACCAAGAATAAGTACCTCATAATTGTTTTTCTGAAGGCGCTTACACTGAAACAAACAGAAACATTCTAACTCTAATGAATTTTTTCCTGTTCTAAAGAATATCACTTTTACACATAGTTTTTCCCCAATTGACCAATACAGTGAACATCTACAAGATCTAATGGTTTAGGCCATGGATATCAACAGGTGTACATGTAGCTCAGGTGGTAAAGCACCTGAAGTACATAATAATGTAGGGGTTTCAGGTTTTATTCTTCATCAGGCCATGCATTTTTCCTTTTTTGTAACATAATTTGGTGCCTTTGTCAACCATGGACTTTCTTGTGAAAGTCCTTCCAGAGGCAGTATGATCGAAATTGGGCTACCAATAAGAACTTGGGTATGATGACAATTTAATGACGAAGGGATCTAATGGTTTGGACAATGGACATCAACCTTGGTAGGTCAGTTTATAGAGCACCTGTGAGGGATGCAGGGGCCCAGGGTTCCTCATTCAACAATACCTCAATAAGCTTTTTCACTTACTAAATCTCCACAGAAAAGAATCACTTTATCTATTGCCCTGTTACAGAGCATAATTCAAATTCAACTACAAGAATTCACACATGATATATAGTTTAAACTGTATTCTCATGGCCATGCAGCTATATGTGGTGCATAGATTTACTTCACATTATATCATACTAGTATCTAGTGATATATGTACCAAAGACTTGGCTTCAATAATCAGCTGGTTATCCATCTTTGAATAATTGCATCTCCTCTCACTTTTCAGTGTTACTCCTAAAAAAAATTGAAATTCAACATTATTTTAGGAACAGAATGAAAAATATAATTTCTGAAGTGAATATACATTTATTATACTTCATATAAGAGTGTACTGTAAACTTCCTCAACCCTCTACACACTAAAACAGAGACTGAGTTCTTTATTAATTTGTTAAACTTTTTCAGTGTGCTTGTAAAATTTGAAAGTGTGTCATGTACATTTTTTGAAAAAAGTTATCAAATATTAATGTTTAAAATTATTACATAAAAAGTTTGAATGACAGCACTGAAAAAGCATATACAGTGTAGTTAGTTACTGCTGTCTGCACAGACACCAAGCCCAAGGGTGTAACAGTTGGAACAAATCAAGTGTACCATTTACAGCAACGAAGTAAAAAAAAATCTTAATTTTATTCCATAACATAGTAAAATATATAATAAAAATGGAGTATTGAATATTTTGAAACATGAATAGAAGATATTTAGGGGTAAAATACATGGAAAATTAATCAAAATAATACAAAACGACCTTACTCGAGCAAACCGGAAGCCCGTGAATTAGTCATCCTTGTTAACTCGTACTTCAAATCTTCGAAATACCGTCTTGTGTACACGAGAGGTCTAGCTAGTCTGATTTTGACAGTTTTGTAAGCATTATTTAATTAAGCAAATATTTACAGTATATTCTTATTCTAATTCATGCAGTGAATATATTTGTAAGATATATTGGGGGGGGGGGCTGTCAATTAGTCATATAAAGAATTTTTGTTTAGGATCAAAGTTCTTTTCTTTTTTGACTTTGAATGATATTTCCATTTATCAACCTTTCTACACCGAAATTCGAAGGAAAATTCCTATAATATTAAATAATACCGAAAATTTGTACTGTTAAATTCGTACACATTTTATTCTTGACAGTAAACTAAGTTGCGTGAGTTTATTTATAATGTGAATTGTTTATGGTGTACACAATACAATGTATATCCTTGCACATGATATGTATATAGTTTTTGTATTCACTGCTGACATCACGCACAATTTAAAGAATGGGGGGGGGGGGGGTTACATGTATATATGTCTCCACTTATATTTCCTTACATAAATTTTGCCATTGAAAATGTTCCTTGAAAGGCCTGTTGACCTCCCCACTTCTCTGTTGGAGCACAGTAAAAAGGACAATGTAGTGGTGTAAAAAAAAAATAGTGGAAGAGGTTCGATCTTAGACGCACCCCTTCCACATATGCACACAACACATCATTGCTCGTAGAGCAATAGCCGGCTTTCGTTACGGTGACGGTGTTCAACCGGAAATGCTGCTTCATCACCGCTTTTATACTAGTAATCAAATTTACGAGTTAGAATATAGTACGTTTGCGCAATCGCCTTTGAGGCAATACAAACACTAAATTAAACTTTCAAAGTTATCTGAAATTGTCAAAAAATAATTATAATAATATACTTTCTGCCTTCTTCTTCATTTTATTTTTTGTTTAAAACATCCGAAAGGTTTTCATCAGGTATCCTGTCAGCGTCATATTCTATAGATAAAGCTTGTACTATCAGGCTAACACAAATGGAACTTTTAAATTGGTCTCTGTTCATTAGCCTGCAATTGATCCCGGTTCTCTGTACTTCTGAGTACTTTGATTTTTCCTAGACTGCCCCCCCCCAAAAAAAACAACACACTTTCAAAAATGATGATATCATGCTACGTCCCTGGACTTAGTAACAGAATAATATATTTTACAATAACCTTGCTCCTTTTTATAGATAGTGAACGAAAGGGTGTTTTTTTCTAGCTAGGCTTGAAGAAATACTTAATATTAATACCTTTGCATATTTAGACAATATGTTTAGAAAATTGCTTTTTAAAAGCTAAAGAACATGAGAGGAAGGAAACCATTTCCCGGAAACATTCGTTCGAGGTTTATACTGATTCTCATTACAATTTTTTTCAGTCTTACATCAGACTTTTTGGTCCATTGTAAAATTATATAAATGATAAATCAGTTAAAGGAAAATCATAAAAAAGCGTACTTGAAATTTTTTCTGTGATAAAATTGAATATATACAAGTGCATCCTACATATGACTAAACCTACTACATGTAAGTATATACTTTTTAGGTGTACTGAGAGAGAGAGAGAGAGAGAGAGAGAGAGAGAGAGAGAGAGAGAGAGAGAGAGAGAGAGAGAGAGAGAGATTAACCTGTTTAATTGCCAGCGCTTGTATCAGATGGCTTAATGCAGTACAGGACACGGTTTCATTATTCTAGACAAGGAAGGAAAATTCGAAACACAGAACTTTTTTTTCCAAACGGAAATCAGTTTCTGCTCTCGGCCAACATGGAACAAATACTTGTACTGGAAATTAATTATTATATATTGAACCTATAAACATCATTTTTTTTTTGTCCATTATAATGGGAAAAAATCTTCCTGTTTAATTGTAACAGATGGGTTGGCCAGAAACTTGAGAAAGACGAATGGCCGGACAAATAGTTATAATTAAAAGGACAATTTATTATATTCACGTGGCTATACACATGTACATATATATGCGATATATACGTATGGGCCATACGGTTTCCAAATTAATTTGTTGATGGGAAATATGATTCTCTAGTAAAGGGTACATTTCATATTCTGAGAGATAATTTAAATTTAATTGAATTTTACATGAAATAATTATTTATTTTGCGTTTATCCCCGATGGTATATACATATTGAATAAATGTATTACACTGCAAATATAATTTATAAAGAAATGCCCAACAAGCATCAACATGGATAATTGGGAAGGGTCCTCTCAACAAAAGCATTTGTATGTGACGTAAAAATAAAGTCTTCTTTGTAGAAAAGAGGTAAAAAAAGCATCAAACGAGAAACTTTAATAGCAAAATCGCTCCAATGCTAAAGAGTCATCTATTCGTATTACTTTATTGATATATTTAACTCAAATTTTGTTTTCATTAGAAAAAAGAAAGGCTGCTCGTGATACTGATTTTTATAAAAGCAATGGACGCAGAAGCTCAGCGGGTGTGAGTTGGGTTTAGGGGTTTAATACAAACTCCTTCGAGAAATATTTATCTGCATGGTTGAATGGTGAAGTACAAACTCGAAAAATCTTTGTTTTGCATAAACTTGATGATGGCAGCTTTGTTTCAATTAATTAAAGAGGCGTCTACCTAGTCAGATAAGATTTTATTGATATTAAATGAAATTGAACTGTCTGTTCCTATTATCAACACATCAGTCTGGCGTTAGAACACCCACGATATTTTGCATATGTAGCTTTAGAAAGCCTGTCAAAAATAGAAGAAAAAAAAAAAATCAAGTTGTGTGTCCATTTTTCGGTACTAAGGGGTGTTAAGAAAGTTCGTTCCATGATGAAATATTTTCAAAAATTTCAAAATATTGCTTAACCAAAGCGATAGATTTTCAAGTCTGACAAAATCACAAGAGTGTGCTTTAGATTAATAGCAATTCATTTCTAGCAGGAAATTATAGGATTTTTCTTCCATATGAAAATATATGCAACATCTTTAAAGCACCAGAATGATAAACATGCTGGTCATTTAATGTGGATAAATTACTTTTGTTTAATGCATCAGACAAGCTGATGAACTTATGTATAAGAACGAAAGATCACTTTTCAAAAGAATTGGTTTGTCATATTTTCCCAGATTTGATAATTTTTGCATAGTATTTGAAAGGATGTTTTGACCTGTGTGCTTAATATGTCACAAATATGCGTCATTTTAGAAGATAATTTAATACAATTTTTATATAATAGCATTGGAATTTATCACAAACTGTAAATATCTTCTCATATTTCTTTTGGAAATACAAACTTTCTTAACACCCTTTAGAAATCAATAAAGTATCATCACTTTAATGTGATTTATTATTTTAATGTAAGTTCTTGCGGAAATACGATGCTTTGGTTTTGAATGTTTTCCAGAAATTCTAGAAATTTTAGAAATAATTTATACAATTTTTATATAAACATCAATTTCCAAATGTACAGAAATATTTTAATACATCTACCCGTTTCCCTTTGGAATATATGCAATGTATATCTTGATAGTCTACAATGAACAAACCGATCCCAGTTTCGTCTGCTATGTTATGTAACTGTGTAATACCAGTATTTCTTTGATAGTGAACAATGGTTGTAAATATCAAATATGAGAAACTTATGAATCTAAATAGAAATCTGAGCAATTTTTACAGCCCCAGCATATATATGTATAATTATAATTATTCACTACCTCTTATGGTATTCATCTGCCAATATTTTTGAAAATTGATTTCAAAAGTCATTTTTGAAGAAAAGAAACAGAAAACACGTTCATCCTGTCACAACAGCAATGGAATCAGTGCAAGATCCAGCAGGACTGAACAATGTGAGAATTCATTCATTATATAGCTTTAACTCTATCGAGGGTTTCAAGTCGGCCCTCCAATAGCTGGTCGATATCACTATTTTGATCTGCAGTATATCCATATAGATATCGATACAGGAAATAAAAAGGACAGTCGATTAAAGAGAAAAACTCGAAACATTCGCTTGAACTCAAAATAAAAGAAACCACAGAATTTGGCACGTCTGTTTCATATTTGGATATTTTACTAGAAAAAATTAAAGACGTTAATGCATGAAATCTCAGTTAAATCGAAACGCTCTACGTACTGACAATTTACTAAAACAAGACCAGGAATTGACAATTTAGGTGATGATACAAGGCTATCTTGTTTAACGCAAACATTTCGTAAGTTCTATGTCGATGCATGCAATGGCTTTTGCAGCAAATACAATCTATCTTTACGTCAATATTGACTGGGGGGTTTCCATGTAAATTGCATGGCCATTATTTTCAGACCAAATTGGATTTTCCCATTGGCTTGATCATGACGAGGATCTAACGGCGAGGATGCTTACTCTTCAAGAGATACCTGTGCTTACCTGGCCTTACCTTTGGTTGTTCCTCAAGGTTTTTGCATTGTTTCAATGGTCAACTTTTGAGTTTGCTTACTGTTCCTTATATTTATATTTTATCAAAGTGGAACGAAATACAAATTGCATAAGTTATGACGTCATATGGGAATCTTAATTCTTTTCAACATTATAAAATTATTCTCTGGTATAAACAGAAAGATTTCAAAATCATGCAGTTCCCATTCAGAAATGACGCTGTTTACCACATATACCGGTAATCCTTTTTATTTTAGCGATTTTTTGTTGTGTGATAACTATCTGCTCTCAAAAAATCATTCTCGTGTATGTTATTATTGAAGATTCCATAGAGCAATGATCGAAACTCTGAACAATTTTCTCGCATATGAATACTAGCTACATAAAAATTTAGTAGCCTAAACTGACTACTGTACGCACTCGTATCTTATGTTTTTATGAATTAAATAATGTTTTAACTCCAAAAATGTTTTAAAGTTAAATATGATACATACTTTTGAGATTTTCAACAATTTTACATTCTAATTGTAACCAGTGGAAATATTAACAAATCAATATTGATCGATAAAGTCATTAAGTTCAAAAAGTTTTGTTTTGAGAGAGAAA